CTCAACCCCCCCACGAGAAAAAAAAAAAAAAAAAATCAAAAATCAGACAAAGTATGTCTAAAAAACACAATTATTATTTTTTTTTTTTTTATGGAAAACGTTCCCCCAGCACATTTCTGTGATAAATGGAGACAGCTCTCTACTGCTGATGTGCATATGGGAAAAAAAAAACTTACCATTTTATTATTGATTTCATGAAAATGAATTTCACAGACTTTTTCCACCACATCTTCATTTTCAAAAGTGACGAAGCCAAAGCCTATTTACAGAGAGAAAGGAGGAAAAATATTAATGATACACTTATGTTATAAAAACAGAGATTTCTTTTCAACAAAGCATCTACAGGTGGGCGGACCTCGGTTAAGTTTTGCACACGTGTGCGCACACCCGCAATCCATTGAGCCCGCAGGAAAAGCTCCTATAGATTATTAGGGAACAAAACAGAATTAGAGAAATTTAATAGGAATCCGTCACCGGTTTTCTATAGACTTTATTGCAGAATTAAACCCTTCCTATAGAGAGTCTTTGGTTCTTTCGATAGCATTTAATAGACAGCTCTATCTCTGCTACAGGATCGCTCCAACTTGCAGAAGGGATGTAATTCTCCATTACATCTTATAGGATTTTCGAGTAATCCTTGTTTCATATCTATGGAACACTATTGATTTCACCTCCTGCTAAATTCTGTGGGACTTCTCCATTAGGGAAGATTCATTAAGTGACAAAAGAAAAACATGCTCAGAGAGCTAGAGAAAATGATTCCTCATTTCCCCATCACCACTGCCGTCAAGAGGGGGAAAAAAAAAAATTAATGATTTCACAAACATGTAGCAGCACTTGGTGTTTACGGTCGCCTCTGAGCAAACAAGAAATTTACTCATCTGTTATTTATAAGGGTCAAAAGACGCCGGCTCTGCTCTCACAGGGAAGCAGGCAGTGTAATAAGTGCTTCTTGGATCACTGCAGGTCTAGGCTTGTCCTTTCAGCACATTGATACAGTCAACCCTAAGGGTCAGCCGAGATCCGGAGGTAGTTATTTGTCCCTTTCTTCCTGAATTGCTTCCTCTAATACCTCATCAGGACATCCTGAGGCCTTTAAGAAACTATTAAAGTTTAAGGGCCTCTGATCTGATCACTCATCTTTTCTCTAGTGCTGCTTCAAAAGGACCTATGGATTTGGGCTGGTTTAAGGTTGCTTGATGCATGCTGTTTGCCCGGCAGCTGTACACTGTATTCACTCTGTTGGGTCCACGAAGTCCTAGATGCACCGCGCCAAAGAGTTTTGGCAGCCAACTACAATTCTACATATTGATTCCTCCCCCCCGTGTTTGGCGAAGAAAAGAAAAGAAAGGAAAAGAAAAATGATGGGGTTCTGGCTGCTTCTCTGAGGAGAACGATAAAAAATCTGAAGGTAACATAAAGGATACTGTAAGGTGTCCTCCATAATAGTACCAAGAACTTCACTAGCCAGAAAAATGCCGGCAGGATCTATCTATATGGACAGATATCTATCTATCTAGATAGAAATATAGATATAAATACACATCCATCCATCCACCCAGAGAGATGGATCTACCTATATACCTATATATACACCCTGCCAGCATTTTTACGCCTACTGGAGAGGACACCTTACAGTATCCTTTACGTTACATTATATACATACATACACACACATTATATACATATATACATACATATACACACATATACATACACACACATATTATATACATATATACATACACACACACACACTATATACACATATACATACACACATACACACACATACTATATACATATATACATACATATATACACAGACATATATACATACACATACTATATACATATATACATACATACATATATACAGACACACATATATACAGACACATATTATATACATATATACATACACATATTATATACATACATACATATATACAGACATATATACATACACACACTATATACATATACAGACACACATATATACATACACACATACATATTATATACATATATACACACATACATATATACACAGACACACATATACATACACACATACATATTATATACATATATACACACACACACACACACTCCTGAATATATCTCTATCTATATAGATATCTACATTGATCTCTATCTATATCTATATTCAGGTGTATGTAGTTGGAAAAAAAGAGTGGGGAAAATTATTTTTAGCAAGCTTTTGGGCACAATCTACACCCCTGAATATGAATATCTATATATCTTTCTATAGCTATATACCCCGAACATCTCTATATCTAGATATAGATATATACCCTTGAACATCCATCCATCCATTTTCATATTCAGGGGTGTAGGTTGTGCCCCAAAGCTTGCTAAGACAAATTTTCCCAACTATTTGAGTTGGCTTAATAAAAGATATAGGATTTACCCAAAGAAGTGTGTGTGTGCGTGTGTGTATTCAGTGCACAAGCATAAATGAAGGCTGAATACCCAGTCAATTGCAACTTATGCTTTAAATCAAACCAAAACGATGGGGAAGGGAAGAAAAGATAAGCAAGTTCAATGTTGTCTGGTTTGTTTTATGTAAATAGTTTTGCAAAAGTAAGCCAGCTGCACGTGAGCAAGTAAACATCTCATTCCCACACACACACAGACCTTGGATGAGACTTTCAGCTGGTGTGGCTCCTGCCGAGGCCACGCTGACTCACGCCAGCTGAGAATCCAGTCCTCCCATGGCACAAACCTCCGCAGGCTCGTGATAGGGGAAAAGAGTCTGCCCTGGCCAGAGCTCAGGTTGCTAATCCACAAACCTGGTCCTTCCCACTCCAAACCTAGCCCCTTCTCATCCAGGAGCTGGCAGCAAAATTGCTAGAGCGAGGCCTCATATCAACATGCCTTGGTTGCTTTAAACGTGGAATAAAATGTGCTAAAAATTCTGCCTACGAGCAAGCACGAAACTAGGCAAAGCCTGCCAAAATAAAGCAACAAAATACATTCTGCAACCAGCGTCCTTGCAGCTGAACATCCACGGTTGCTTATTCACAAACTTGCAGGAGCCTGCCCTCCTTCGTGGGAGTTGCGGCGATTAGAGGGAGCTCTCAAGGTTAAAGCACCCACGGGGCCATTTGTTTAGGAACACACTGTCTCTCCGGTGCTGCTGAACGCTTCTCCCCTCCTCTCACCCCGCGTGCTTCCCAGCCCCTTCAGAAACAACACCGAGCAGCCCGTGGCATTAAAATCCCAAGCCGTCGCAGGAAGGCGTTTCATGGTGAACTTCAAGCACGCATCATCTCGAACCATCTTACTTGATGCCTGGCTCCTTTGCCTTCTGTTGAAGGAACAATTCAGTGGCGCCAGTCAGAAGTCCAGTTCAAACTAACCTTTTCTTTCTCTTTTTTTGTGACGACCGAATACAACCTGCTTGGGACCTGGGCGCCACGCTCTGTTGAGTAATTGTTGGTGCTGTGAGGACAGCACCCCACAGGGAGCCCTTTTGCCCAACGCAACGAAACGTCTAGTCCAGGTCCTCAAGTCATCAATTGTCTGAGCACCAGAATCACCTTCATCATTACTAAACTTGTTAGGGAATACCGTGATGGAGGATTTCTTTTGGCCCACTGACCCTCCCCACCCCTGCCAATAGGACTGAGAAAAGGAGGGGCACTTACTTACAGTTCATATGCCTAACACTGCCTGAAAACCCACCAAAATCATTACAAGTCGGCCTAAGAAAAGATATCGGATTTACCCAAAGAACCTTGTCTGCCCATGTCCTTAGACCAACACGGCTACAACCCGCACCACCAAAATCATTACGCCGTCTAACTCGGGAGTTATTTCCTGCCTGCCTCCATACAGCTGAAATACAGATTTATCAAAAAATGATTTGCCTGATTAAAGAAGATAGCCATCCCGCATTGTGATTTTATAACAAGAACAACACAACAATCCACTGGTGTCAACACTCATTTGCAGGTTTTTAAGAGATCCACGCCATTTCCAACAGGCCTGTCTATTTGGCTTGATGAGAGAAAACAAACTTGATTATGTCTAAAAACCTTGATTTATTCCTCTTGTGGAAAAGCAAAGAAGTAACAGAACAACTAATCATCAATAAGTGCCATTCTTTAACTGTGCAATCATTTTGCCGACGGGGCGCGTGCTCATCTGCAATGGATTGGTTAGCTTAAACTTGTGGTTAAAGCAAAACAGTAAGACCGCAGGAAGAGTCTGTGCGCGAATGGACAGAAAGCAGGTCAGGAGAAGACCGATCTGAGTTCGAACAGACCTTTCCACAGAAGGGACGGTCCTTTTCAAGTACACCTTTGTAAAGGTTTTTGTAGGACACAGCTTTTTGCATGGGGGGGGGCGGGGAAGGGGTGAGTTTCCTCCTCTTGACTTCTAGGTGATCACTTGTGCGCTTCAGTCATGTTACTGTGGTTGAAGCATAGGTCCAAGAAAAACCACAAAAGCTCGGGCCTCCAGTAAGAAAGTACGAAGAGGTTGCTACAAAGGTGACACTTCCAATGCAACCTAGTCTCCTTAGAAATGACCATGCTGGAAAACTCCTAGCATACTAACCTGGTCTCCTTAGAAATGACCAACCTGGCAAACCCACTCAATCACCATCTTCAGCCCGAGTGCAAGCATGCACGAAGTAGCTACATTTAAAACCATGCCACATCTGCCTATTTCAAATGGCAAACGATACTGGATTGTTAGAAGAGATCGCCATTCACTCTGGTTGCCAAGCCCTGTCTCAAAAGAGGTCTTCTAGGAAAATCAGAGAGGGGTTTTACCTCCCTGCAGCAGGCAACCGTCTTGAATGGCTGTAGGGAATGCACTTACCTTGGGTATTTGGGGCAAGTGAAGACAAACGCGAAGGGATGGGCTGAAGTTTGAAATACCCACGCTCCCCAAAACCACGGATGTCTATCCTGCATTATTAGCCCCATAACTTCCAAAGAAGTTCAAAATGCAAGTATGGATCTTCAGGAACGTCAAGGTGTGGTCTACTCGGCGTTAAGCCAGAACGAGGTCTGCTCCCTTCCCACCCTAGCTCTGCCCCAAGCACCAGCAGGATCAGACCGCCAGGTTGCAAACCAGACTGTGGGAAGGGGAGGAAAATAAATAAATAAAATAAAATAAAATAAAATCAATGGCTCTGCATTTATAAAATTTTACCTTTATGACCACTGACGTTCAGCTGATTGGAAAGCCACCAACAGATTCCAATCACTTAAAATCCATAGG